TTTGTTTCCCGAAACAGACGCCGACAAAGTGTGATTTAGTTGGGGGGAAGTCGAGGTCATTGTTTTTCATTGTCCAGCTGCTGTACTCTAACAGGTGCACTTCTTCAGCAATCAAAAGGCCTGATCCCATGGAAGTATGTTGTACGGCTTTGCACTCAAATGTTGGGAATATATAAAGTATCACAGAGAGCTGTAAATGCTAAACTTGTGGGTTTTGGAGCGAAGTGCCTAGTAAACGATCAGCGAAGGTTGTTCAAAGGTGAAATCTTGGTGCATATGACCCTCCTTCGATGCTGCAGTCTCTCTGGAGGTGAATGTTCTGCGACTGAAGGTGATTTGCACTCCAGTCAAGAGATCAAGATCCATTTGCGTTTCTAGAATTTCCCTACATCCAATTCCACGGGATTCGATCTTGGTCTGCTTTGATTAATATACTTGGAGTGCTACGGACTTCTGTATGGAAAGCCTTCTAGAGTGTCTCAAGCTGTATAGAAAATATGATTCTTATGCAGAGTGCGAAGTAGCTATTCGCGCAGTTCTTCAGTGACGACATCAAGAGATGATGCGACTTTTCACTTGTGCGGATACTGCGAGTTCCTTGAGGCCGTTGAACAAGCTAATTGAAATGCTTTGCAGTTCGTTGCCATGACAGCTGCGGCGTTAGACCGGAGCCAAGCAGAGCGCTCAAGAAGTGCGGGCGCAGTTGCCTTCGCTGGCCTTCATTTACCCGTGGCCTCACGTCAGCACTCTTACATCCAGTCGCTGTGACTCTTGTACAGAGCCTAGACAAGACGATTCAGCTAGTTGGTGCCCAACAGAAGACGACGCGGTGAATAGAGCGATAGCAGAGGCACAAGACGTCGTTGCGTATTTCGATCAAACGCATCCAGAAACCTGAGTTCGCCCTTTTCCAGCATTGAAGTACACCTCGCAGGGCACACTTGTTAATTGTTATTCCCCTGTGCCTCTAGGCAGCGCGACTATTTCATTAGCTACTAGCGTTTCGCTAGCCGTATTCAATGGGACGTCGTAGCCCGCTGCCACGTAATTTCAAGCAAATGTATGAACGGAAAAGCTGGATGGAAGAGCGGACCCAGAAAAACGAAATTACGGCTGGATAAGTGAGTGTGATTTCGAAGTACGAGGGCCAGCACCTGCAAGTATCAGCTGCAGGGCGAGGACTTCTGTTACCTCGTCGTTCGTTTTGGCTCGTTCCGTAGACACAGCATCAGCAGGAGCTCTTACAGAGTTACTTGTCGCTTCGAGCACGGACATTCGAAGTAACAACGTCTCACTGCACTGCTCGGGTACTATGATGTGAGTACTCTTGTAGCATACTCAGTGTTTGGTAGACTTTGCTCCTAGAGCTGACTACAACTGAGTAGTTGGAGCGATGTAATTGATGAAAAGCCTGGTCAGCAAGAGCCTATTTGCACTGACTATCACTTTCGGATGGCACAATTCCATGCATCGTGAGCTTTATCAATTTAGGCCCCACAGCTAGCTAAACGACTACGACTGTGCTGCCAAATAAACCACGCAGGGTGGCAATACCGTGGGGCTTGTAAGGGTGCTGCAGTCAGCCTCACGATGCTCATATCAGTACGTGGAGAAGCAAACACTGCGCGCTTTTTAATGCGACTAATTGGAGCAGTCACAGAAACAACTGGTATTACTGGAGAGCTACTCAACTTCTTTGCCCATTTCCTCCGAGCTGGATCTGGTGGATCAGCTACTACAGCTGCACAAATAAATGCCTGCTTTGCCCACCCTTTTTAGTGAGCCTCTACGTTGTTAGTATCCTCCACATATGCAGTCTCTGAACTCCAGTACTCTGGTACTATCTTTGCAAGGTTCATTCATCTGCCGTAACTTATCTCGACACACACAGCTTTGATTTCATACAGTAATGGTTGTGGTAAGTGTAAGAACTTCACGAGTCTGCCCTGAATGCACGGAGATTTCACTTATAGGTTGTGCTGCCAAGTGATTACAGCTTGTGCAGGCAGCCAAAACCCCGCATAAGACTTGCCTGGGGTGGTCCTATGGGAGTGTAGTGCTGGTCTAGCCCTATCCTTAGAGCGTCAGGGCTCTGTATCATGCTCGATGACCGTTGCCAAATGAAGCCCATCTTACTGAGACTAGCGGAAGAGGCCCAGGACTCCAGCAATGCAGTAAATAGATGGAGGCAGCAGCCACATCTACGGTAAAACGGTGACGATGCATTACACAGCCTCAACGAAGGCTTTCTTTGCTTAGTTGTGTAAGCTGCGCGACAGTGTCACTGGGGGTGGAGGTTTGATGATTTACCGAGGTTTGCTGCTCATGCTGCACCAGCTAAGAGTTACCTTTAACCTTTCGAATAAAGCCTATCCTATTCGCTTTTCGCTGGATACTTGCAATGGGAAACTGTGCTAAAAAGCCTCTTGCTGTTGCTGCAGTAGACTGCACGAAGGTACCTACAGCAGCTCTTGTCCGTAACCTAGCCAGATGCCCGTGGCCCTTTGCCGCTTCTATGAATAATGAGCGTCTGCGCGGGTGTGTTGTCGGTAAAGGCTGAACTCGGCCTTTTCACCAGCAGGCACACTAGAAGCAACCATTCCTTAACAATTAAACGGAAAGGGGCAAAACTCGCAGCCAGATGCGTTCAATCGCAACATGCGCCCATGAGATCTGCTACCCCAGCACTCAACGCAAGCATCTATGAGTGGTCATGGCAGGAGCAGCAGCAAATGAAAGTGTACAATTCCACTCATAAGTTGAGCGCAAAAGAGGGGTACATTAATCATAGAGACGTCACCAGGCCACCAGCAGCTAGGCTAAAGACAGGAAGTGTCATAGGTGCCTTCCTGCAGCATCCTGGAGCAACAGCAGGAGACGTTTTAATACTGGTTTCCGCTGTGAGGTTCCAGTGAAAGGCGAAAGGAAAATAAGGCAGGTTTTCTTCTGAAGGTGAAAGCTAACTCCTAACTAGTACAGCATGAGCAGCCAGCCTCAGTGAATCCTCAAGCGTCGACTCCCCAGTAAAACCGCCGCGCGGCCTACACCACCTACCGAAGAAAGCTGTCCACCTTGGGGCTATGTATTGTGTCGTTGCTTTTTCACTGTAGATGTGGCTCCTAACTCTACCTATATACTGCGTTGCTGGAGTCCTGGGCCTCTTCCGCTACTCCCAATGCAGTGAGCTCCATTTGGCAGCTTTCCTCGAGCAGGACACGCAACCCCGCTGCCATAAGGCAAGGGTTAAAGGATTGTAATCAATCTAAAGACATACGACCGTCACGAGTAAGCCATTTGCTGATTGCAATACTAGGCTTTGGATGCCATCCGAAGCCGCAGTAAGCCACCTAGACCTGTGCATTCTTCGAGGCAAACTCATTTTATATTTCCGGCCTCGTATGCCCTCAGCAGACCAGCCTCTATGCGCACATTTGAGTGGCTAAAGGCAAGGGGAGTGACCGCCTCACTGGATTCAAGTACCCGGCAGCAGGGTATTCCGCACAACAGTAGGTATCTTAACGCCAAGCCTCTTTACGGGCAGCGGGGCGCCGGCCCCCAATACCGTCAGTGTGTCTCTGAAGTGCATATGCCTCTGTATGCAATTGTAAGCTTAAGCCTTCGCTGAGACTGCTCAGTGCGACCTTTATTGCACAGTGCGCTACACTCAACACAGCACGTCGACACCGAGTTATGGGGGATTCGGCAGCTCTTTTTCGTTTGTGGCAGGTAAGACAAAATTAACCTAGCTACGGAGGGTCTTAACGGGTTAAGCAGTTGGGTTTTTGCCTTAGCTGGGCATACAGACCAAGCCAGAACACTGCTGGCTTCGCCCGAGTGTCTGCGCTGTAGACAGGCCAGTGACCGGGGGCGGGAACTTCATTAGGTCTCTTTGCAGCTCTGAAAATCTGTCAAACTTGAAGAACATGAAGTGTTTCGGCGCTTTCTGGGGAGGGAGAAACAGTGTCTTCTGCATCGCGCAGTGTTGGGGTGTATGCACACCTCGCACTGCGACCCTGTGCTGCGGCCGCCATTGAATGCCTCTCCCCGCTGCCTGGTGTTAGGCTGTATCTCGAGCTCACTTTGTCTGTGCTTCATTAAAAACACGTCAGGCTAGGGTTTCGGGCTCAGGGTTTAGGGTTTTTAGGGAGGCGGGTGAAACAGAGCGCAAAGGAGAAGCACCGGAGGGGAGCGCACGGGAGAATGCGGGCCCTCCGTCTCCTGTCTTCGTACTAATTCGTCCCCCTTTGCGAGGGTTTAGGGTTTGGGGATTGTGGATTTGAGCGTCGTAGCTATTTTTCCTACAGAAGGCCACCGCTAGGGGCCAGAAGCACTGCGTCTGTCCTGAGGCTACGCCAGAGGCTAGCCCGCCCCTCTGTCACTTTCAGGGGTGTTCGCTGCCGCAGGGGCCCCCAAAGTCTTTTTAAGAAGGTGCAGCAGGACCTGCACTGTATTGTCCTGCGTGGTTTCGGCGGAGCCTCCCGACGACATCCCAGGGACCCCTCCCCCCACCTGCTCGGGTGTATCGACAGGTACGTCTTCTGTGCTACACAGTGCCCACGGTCCCAGGCCCTTCTCATTTTTATTACGGACGGATTTTTCACGCTAATGCATGTGTCATGCGGTGCCTTGGGTCTTCCTATTCGTGCTGATGCCTGCTCGCCTCTCCGTCAACCTCGGTGGTGGTGCTACTGCATAGCTTGACCACTACACGGGGCCCTTTGGGCTGCCTTTGTCCCCAGGAGTATCACAAATGAGGCTAAAATGTCGTATTGCGGGGCTCTGTACTGCTCCTCATTCCGCCCTGAGGATAGGGGATAGTAGCGTCAGGCCCATGCTGTGGAGGTGTGTGTCAAGTGTGATGCGTCGTCAGCTGGGCCTAGTGGAGTGTGAAGCACTCGTCGTTTCACTCCTCTGAAGGCGAACCAGCCCCTGCTGCTTGTGTTGCTTCAACTGCTACTACGGAAAAATAGCATCTGCAGAGTGCAGAGGCCGCGGCAAAGATGGTGAGCGCGGAATGCTGCAGCACCTTCAGCAGCCAAGAATTGCCATTGTCTTTTTGCTTGTCTAAATGCGGCATTTTCGATGCGGAAAGGCTTGCTTCTGCTTTTGCTGTCTTCAGGACCCGCAGCAACAGCAGCAACTGCTGCTGCTGGCAGAGGCCGCTGCAGGCTTGCCCGATGCTCGTCAGGGCCCTGCAGTACAACAGCAGCAACAGCAGCAGCAACAGCGACAGCATTCAAAGTTTGCTTTGCTAGTGGAGGCAGTACTTGCTGCTGCAAAGACCCCCCAGAATGGCAACAACACGCAGTTACTGCTCCAGCTTGTGGACCTGCTGTCCACTGCTGTTGCCTTGCAGCAGCAGCAGCAAACCCCGAGTTCTGTATTAACCCCAGGAGAAGTGGACATTATGTATGCTGCGGTGGAGGCTGTTGCAAAGCAACAGCTCTTGCAGCAGCAAGTGCTACAGCAGCAGCTGCAGCATCAGCACGGACACACTCTAGTGCAGGAACAGCAGCAGCAGCTGAGGCCTGGGGTGAAGGGACTGGCCCAAAGGGAGCAGCAACAGCAGGTACTGCAATTGCAAAGGCTACAACATTTGTCTGAGGGCGTAGAGTCACCGTGCTCAACTGCTGCTTTCACAGCATCACTGGCAGCGACGGCAGCAAATCAAGGAACAGCACTGCCGGCAAGCCCAGCAGCTCCTGAAGCAGCAGCGACGACTCAGCAGCAGCAGTACAAGCCCCTGCCGATTCGCACGTTTCTGGAGGATGTTTACAAGGGGCCCCTGCTGCCGCGACACACTGTGACTGCTTTGGCTTTCGGCAGCAGCAGCGAAAGTGACAGCGAGGAGAGGAAGCAAAAGAAGAGGAAGAAAGAGAGGAGAGTGAACGCAGCAGCAGCAGACGCCCTGTGGCACCCACATTTTCATCCGCACAACCAGGTAGGAGTAGAAGGGGTAGGGTTTGAGGCTTGTGGGTAGGCAAGGGGTGCAGCAACAAGGATAGAGAGCATGTGGAGAAGCGTTTCCAAGCAGCGGGCTTGATTTCTTAACAGGACTTTATTCTTTTCATGCTTGAGCGTTAGTGTTTCCGTGTCTCTTTGTGTCTTCGCTGTTTTAATGTCACGGGCGAGCTGAGCTTTACGCTCAGCTCCAGCAACGAGCTCTCAGAAGCTGGACTCCATGCGCGCACGAGCACAGACACGGGCACAATACAGAGACAACGTGTCTCTGTATTTTTATAAATAGATATATGTACATGCGTGCGTGAGGTAAATGAATACAAGAAATGAATACTGCAGGCTTGTGTACATACATATTCAGCCAGGTAGCTCTACGTCAACCAATATGAGGACATGAATTAATGTGTATGTATTCTACACATGAGCGTCTGCGTAGTTGAAGCATATGTTCATGCTAACGCCGGCCTTCGCGTCAGTTTGCTTGTGGACGCACATCCTTGAACTTTTTGTTGTGTGCAGTGCTCAGCACCACGAAGTCGTTACATCTGAGTTCTATATGCGTTGCGGGGTGCATCTTCTTTTGCTGTTCCTCACAGCGTCGCAAACATTGCAGCGCAAACTCAAAATCTTGTATAAGCCGCTGAGTTCATTTGTAAAGTTGCTACTATCGTTTTCTGTTTTGTGTCTATTCAGGAATTTCGTGTACGCTACCGCTACAAAGGCTCAATGAGGCTAAAGACTCTGTCCTGTGCTCGATTCGGGCGGGAAGGGGCGAAGCTGCTGACGGGGGCATTTGTCGCCCGTTGGGAGGCAACTGGTCGCAAAGTGGCGGAGAGAACTTCACGCAGCCGACTCGCTCTTGCAGACCTCCCAGAAGACACCGCCCAGTTGCCCTCTTACGCCCGCAAACGCACTGACAGTCAGACGCGACACAGCAACCGAGGAGTGTACTCATACACAGATAGGTCATAGAGAGGTGGATCGTGAACTTTTCTTAGCGTTTCTTGACTGAGGCGGGCAGGTAGAAAAGCTGATGAGGTGACACTACGCAAGTGCTCCATAAGCCCGCATCAGATGGTGGGAGTACTAAGAAGCGAACAGGAAAGCAGGGAGAGTCATACATAAATAGGAGGAATGAAATGGTGTCTAAGCGGTTAGTTAGGTATTTGATTGGTAGGAACACGGAGTTCGCCGAGTTGTCAGTCGCCTTTGATGCTACCAGGCCCGTTGAAAATCAGGCCAGACATGCGGACTGCAGACACACACCTTTAGCCAAGGGGGTAGAGGACACGTAGACTGAAGATGGGTAGACACGTAGATACGTATGTAAATACACGGGCTTGGGCACGCGACGAGGCAAGCAAGAGAACGGCAGAACAACTGCGCAGGTAGATAGGGAGCTGTGCATTTAGTTAAGCTCTGAAGTGCACGGAAAGGCAGGGTAGAAAGGCACTAACAGAGAAAAGCAAGCTGTCAAAAGGTAGATACACCCATTATTCTCTGTCCAGCACCTTGAACCACTTGTGGGATTGGACGGGCCCGCCCTAGTTGCACAAGGAACCCGGCCTAGGCCATAGTGGTCGAATCTGTGGGATGAAAGAGTGTGGTGTCGTTGCCGCTTTTGATCTGTTTGTCCAGGTAGCCGCCACCATGCTGTGCACCGTCAGCAGCAACAACTGTTGCTGCAGCAGCAGCAAGAACTGCAGGAACATGAGCAGCAGCAACTGGCGCTGCCTCAGAATCATTTGCTGCAGCAGAATCCACCAGGCGTGCCTCAGCTATTTGTGGGCTCATTAGAAAGTGGCTGTAATGATGGGGCGGCAGCAGCAGGAGATAACAGCAGTGGTGTGAGGTTTCCTCGTACGCAAGGCCCGCCGAGCTTAAAAGGGCCGCCGCGCGGTGGCGTCGCAGATTCGCGGGGGATGCCCAGCTGTACTTTGGATGACTTGTCAGGCCCCTCTTCAGCGTCAGTACTGACGCCATCATGTTCTTCTGTCAGTGCAAAGAGCCCAGCTAGCCCTGAACAATGCTCTCGCGAGGGTTTGGACACGATGTGGATTGGGGGCGGGGGGCCTGGGGCCCCGGGAGCGATCCCGGGAGGGACCTTAGCGGGTTCCCCCTCGAACCTTACGGATGAATCGGCGAGGACTTTGCTGGCTCAGAAACGCCCAAAGCCCTTAGTGAGCTTATCTAAGGAATTAAATGGCTCCCCTGCTGCTGCTGCTCCTGCTGCGAGTGGCAGCAACAAGCAAGCTTCCACTGCAGCGCCTAGTGACCCAAAGACCAACAACAGTGGCCTCATTGATCTGGGCCTTAATACAGATATCCTTCAGTCGCTTCTTGGACTAGGGGCTCCCCATGGAGGACCCTTGAACCAAGATGGCCAGCCGTTGGGGGCCCCTGAGGGGTCCAAAGCAGCCTCACAGGCGGGGGCCACCTGGGCACTGCTCGCTCCTGTTCCCCCTGTGACTCCAACAACAAGCAGCACACGGGGGAGGACCCAGGACGGGGTGGAGAACGATCTGCTACTGCAGAAGCAACAGAAGCTTGAGAGAGCTGCGTTGCTACCTCTCGATTTGCTGCAGCAACTGGGACAAGGCGTCTCTCTTGCTGAGGAGACAGAGCAGCGGCAGCAACAGCAACAGCAAGAGCAAGGTGCTCTGAAGTTGCTGGAAGCTGCTGCAGCAGCAAAGTTGCGACGGCCATGCAGCTCTGAGGAACTGACCCGCATGTTGAAAGAGACCCCGGCGAAGCAAGGAGTAGTAGCTTTCAACAAGGTCAGGAGCCCAGCGCCAGCTGAGGATTCGTCGCTCCCGCAGGAAACAGAGAAAGGTGGGTTACATCGAGTTGTATCTGTGGTAGGGATGAGATCTGCTGCCACTGCTGCTGCAAGTGGGAAAAGTGCTGCTGATTCTTTGCCCCTAGGTGGGAGTTTTGCGGCGGACTTGATCGGAGAACTGTTATTTAAGGCCCAGAAAAGTAGGGCAGCTGATGAAGCTGTTCCCAGCAGTGGCGGCGCAGGAAAGTTTGTCAGCTTTGGTCGCCTCTAGAGCCCCTTGCTTGAACAGAAGACACGTGCGAGTCGTTGGGGCCAGTTTGAAGGCGCCGATCAAATCATTCATTCCTCAACTAGTTAAGCTGCTGGGCGTGTCCTACGAGGTGCAGCCTGCACTGCGCCGCCTTTGCAGGTTAGGTGCAGCGGCCTGGTGGACTGAGTCCATCTTTGCCCCGCTAGCTGCAGCTGGGCGGCTCGTTATGCACTAACAGCTTACGAGTCAGGCTGCGCTAGCCTTACCTTGCTACCCATTCACGTCCGGGCGTACAGCTGGCGACGATCCGGCAGTCTACTGTCTGGCCTGCCTGCTAGGTGTTCGGACGGGGCTAGCCAGGAGCTTGGAAACTTGAGTAGCCTCCGCGCCTACAGAGAGCTTGGAGGCTTGGTGCGGGTTGGCGAGAAGTACTAGCAATGGACAATTAATTGTAAACCGGCTTGAAGCAGCTAGGAATGGCAGTGGCTAGCCTAGCTAGCTACGGCTGTGGCTAGTGAAAGGAGCTGTGGTTTGACTTTAACGCATCAGGGCTTCCTACAGCAGCCCGGCTGTCGGGGGCCCTTCGGGGTCACCCGCAGTGAAATATGTGAAGTTTGCGACTATCGATGACCCCTGTCTTTGGCCGTTCGACCCAGTGGGGTCTTGCAGAGTCCTTCGCCCTTTGGGGCGGGAAAAAAACAGGCTTTGGAACTGCGGCTGATAGGGTCCCCTTGGTCACTTTGGCCTTGTGAACACAAGAAATAGAGCGTTTGCTGTTTACATAAAAGCAATTCACGCCGAGGAAAATGGCGCCGCTAGCGTGGCAGGCATTCACAGATATCTACCTGCATGGATGCTAGCTAGCTAGTGAGCAGAGCTGCTCGTTTGCCAACTAGTGGCATAATTCATTACTAAAACTCAGTGCCAGAATTGGGAGACTGCATGACAGTCTCGCGAGCCAGCTGCCTAGCCAGTTCGATCCTTAGCTACACAGTTGGCTTGTTGGTGTTATCTAGCTGGACTGCTTTCCGCAGGGGCAGACAGAAACTGCAATTCCTATGAAGAGTCCGATGAGCAGTAGACTGGCGAGGACGTATTTGAAAATAGTGGAGGCGCTGACTCTGCCAGCTGCACCAGGAGATTCCCCTCCGTGTTCAGGTGTGGAAAGCCCATCTATTTCTTCGTTTGTTTCTCGGCTGATGCGAAGTGCCTCGGCCTTCTGAGCCTCTGAAGCGTTAGGCGGCAGTTCCAGCAGAGGCCTGTCCATATGCATCTCATTGCCTTCCCCAGGCTTGTGGTTCACCAGCTGCAACAGCCACGGCGCACGCACACATTTAGCTCGGGCGACGTTAATTTTCTTCCGTAGCTTTTCTTCCGTAGCTGCTAGCTGGTAAACAATAAATAAGCAAGCTTTGGAGTGAAGTGTCCACTAGGACGGCACACTAGTGTTTTGCTCGTGTAGTGTGTCGTTATTTTAGACGCCGTGGACCCCTGAGTCACAGTTGAAGCTTGGTTTTACAAAGGCTATAGAGACTTACCGCAAAGTCATTCCAAGAAGGGGTGGCGGCGAACTTTCCGTTTGCGTCGTTGAAAAACTTCGCGTGGTCTGAGAAGAAGCGGGCGAGTGAGATCCCTAGAGAAAGGCAGCAACAAAAAGGCAGTGATTGTGATGAATGCCGAATCAATACCAATATTGACATGCTAGCTAGGTAGAGCCATTAACTTTTACTAGCTGGTTTTTAATTAACAGGCAACAACACGCAGAAACGCAATCAGCAGCTTATGCGTATATGTATTTGTTTCTAATATCGCTCTTCTTGCTGTCTCTTATGTCCGTCACGCCACTGCCACTAAAACTTAATGCCGAATAGCCCTCACGTCTCAAATCAAGGTCCATTGGTTTGTTCTGAATTTGTTTCAAAACGTCATCAAACTCAAATTGGCTACCCGTGGGAGAAGAGAAACCCAGCAACACAATCCTGTGAGGAAGCGCAGCTGCGCGCACGCCGTGGACACATCCGCAGGAAAAAAACATGGAGCGCTAGATTTTGCAAGACGCTACTTCCATAGTCAGTTTGCCATTCAGCTGCTCTCCACACAAATGCTTAGCAACGGTTCTTTGGCTAGCCAGCGACCTGATTGATCAAGCTGTCCAGATAGCTACATGAGCAGTTGTCAGCAGCCAGGTAGGATGATCCAGGTGTGCTAGAGCTAAAGTTTCCGGCTTTCTGTCGTTGTAGGAAGTTAACTAGCTGACGAGTGCCAAAATTTGGGTCTAGAAATTGCCTCACCAGGTGTGGGGTCACGAAGGAGCCACTCTGTGTTGCAGGCGGCCTCTGCTTGAACTGAGCAGGCGTCGGGCTTAACTTTAAGTTGAACAAGACGGACGTCAGTGCCCAAAGAAGGGTCATCAATGTCGATAGAGAGAAACAGACTTTTCTCGCTTTTTATGTTGGGCTCCGCAGACACCGCCCTGGCCAGCACCCCTAAACGCTCAGCTGCTGATTCGTCGAACTCGGACGCAGGTAAGCGCAGACCGCTGAAGTAAGGCATAGACAAACATCCAATCACCCTCTTGTTCTTGTTGATTCTGCGCCATCTGTTCACTCTTGTCCGTTTATCTATTCTTCTGTGTATCTGTGCCATTTATTGCTCGCTGCCTATGGCTGTTTGAGTTCATCTGTGCCTGCCCAAATGTTCTGATCTATTCTTCAGCTTCTGCGTTTCCTCACTGGTTAAACTCCACGGTAAAGTGCTCCTTTCCTAGGACGAAGGGTGCCCCCAAGGCGGCAAGGCGTTGGTTGATGGCGTCTCTTCCCAGATCTCGCGAGGACCCCTGTTCCCTTTTGGTTTCCTTCAACACATGTTTCATTTCTGTTTCTGTTTCTTCACTAGCTAGCTCATTGAGGTGGGCTTCCCCAGCTGCAGCTCCAGGTGCTTCTTTTGTGGCTCCCTCACTTTCAGAGGCAGAAGCAGCCTCGGCTTCAGCCTCCGCCACTGATTCAGAGGCAGATTCTGCTGGCTTTTTTTCTGGTTCTGCTGGCTTTTTCTTTTTCGTCTCCTCAGCGCCTTCACCTTCTTCTTTCTCAGAACTGCCGGCTTCGGCTTCTGAAGATACGGATACGAATAGAGAGGAATGAATGAGGGAACTACTTGCATGTGTTGAAATGAAGGCAGCGAATTTGGAAATAGGAAAGGGACCAAGAACTACCCCACTAGTGCCAAAAAAAGCAACAATCGTTACAGTGGTAAATGCAACAGCGGCTACCTTGATGACAACACGAGTGATAGAGCCAGCAATTTGGCTAAGTCAGCGGTGGCGTACCTGATGCGCCTTCTGCCTCTGAGCCAAATTCATGCTTATGTATAGGTCTGTCTTCCACCTCTTTGTCCCCGGCCTCCTGATCCGTGAAAGCCACCATGTCCTCCACTGCGAAGACCATCCATAATGTGTACAGCCCTATACCCTAATTCATAGGCCACAAACCGTAGCCAAAGCACTGTAGAAGATGTTTACAGGCTTAAAGCTCAACAACGGTGTCATTTAAACTGCGTTGCTTGCGTCCCTGGTGGTGCTGCTGTCTGTAGCACCTGCGTGAAATGGTCTGCAGCAGCAGCAGCAGCTGCAAAGGTACACACAACTGCAGTAGCCTACCAGTAGGCTGTTCAGCGGGTTTGGCACTGCTTCGAAGAACTGCAGCCGAGGCTGGAAGGAGGGAGAAGTAGAGACATAGCGCAAGAGCAACTGAGCCGAGCGCCAGGGCCAACGGAGACCCTCGAGAGGGAAAAGAAGTACAGACCCTCATTTTGGAGCCTCAGATCATTGAAAGTAAGCTTAATCAAACTAACAGAATGCAAAACAGAAACAATATCTGAGTAAACTGGACTTAAATGTGAAGCCGCTACTTCCCATGGACCACCGTGCCCCTCCGTCAGTCGGCTGCGGCTGCAGGCAAGCCGAGCTGCCCGTACTTCAGAATCCACGTACCGCTGGGGCTCCTTTACTATTAGTTTTGGATCATATAGTTTTAATTTGTCTAGCATACATCTTCGAAATGTTGTTTTGTGGCTTTCCCCCGCAATTTTCAGTCTTTCAACAGCCACTTTTCCAGCTAGGCGTGGGAGCCTCATAGCTGGCTGGGGCAGCCAGTGGTCCTGTTGTCTGATCCGTCGGGCTCTGGCTGCAGCTTGCTTCCCTGACAAAAATATAAACTGCTTTCAATGCAAAGGCTCCATGCTGTTGCAGAACTGGGCCCCTAAGCATTTTCTTATGGTGAAAGATGGCTGCCTGCGGCGCCGCAAAGTCATGTCAATCAGACGTCTGCTCTGACTCCCAGAAGCCCAGCCCAACACTTTAGAGACTTATGCAGAATTTCTAGTTTTGACTTGCCACTCGCTTAGGCGGTTTGGTAGAGCAGAGCCACCACCACTCTTGCGTCGCGTCACCCGTAGAACACACCTACAAAAAAAATAACACCTTCACCAAGGCACTCAACGTGCCAGAACCATTTCATCGTGTACTTTCGGCAAAAGTGCTAACAAAGGCATTGTAGATCTCACATACAACATTAGACCCAAGAGGCCAGAACATGTGGCATGCGGCTGCAGAGCCTGGAGAATTTACACCATCTGTTTGCAGGAAAAGGACTCGAACCTGCTGCATGATCCCTTGGTGACGTTCCAAAAATGTGATACCATGTTTCTACATGCCTTAGAATGGCTATATTTGCTCCAGCTGGCTCGATGATGATTGCGAACCGCAAGGAGATTCGCGCATGAGCTCATGGGCCCCTTGCGGTGTGTAGATGACGATCAGACAAATTTTGCGCCTACAGCTTTTAAGCAAACTATGTGGAGATCTACTCCTGGATGGTGGACAGTCTGGGGCAACTTTGGGATTTGTGTACGAAGCTCGATTGTGCAATCGCCAAATATCTTGGGGGTTCTGGTCTCCTAGTGCCAAAGCTACTGAGCTCGGAGAAACTCCCACACAGCCAAACGGATTACCTGAAGGCTGTTTAACGCCGGACGTGCACCGAGGCAAACAGATGTTTAGCTCAAAATATTTTCCAAACGATTTATTACACTCAGTTGCTCAAAACGGTACGCGACGAGAGCCGCTCAATGGCACATGAAAAGTTTAAAATGAGAATTTCAGCATGAAACCACACGCGCTTACTCAAGGGCTTTTCCTAAGCTTTTGTCGAACGATTTCAAGCACATATCTTAAGGAACTAGAGAGATGAATGGCCACTACACATGCACACTGGCGGCGGGGTGCGCCTGTTCTTGGGCGCTAATGCTTGATTTTTACGATGCTATGATTGTGGCTGTAAGAAATTTGCTAGTGATAGCAGCATAATTGATTTACTCATAGCAGGAATAACTGGAGCCATATGGTGTGCAGCAACAGTTTCACGGGCCACACTAATCAGTTGTGTACGGCGTGTAGGATAACCAGGCCTAAAGACCCTAAGAGTTTGGGAAACGACAAAGAACCCCCATTCTATGTTTGACAACGAGCACGTGATTGCCCATTGCCACTAGTGCTCTGGTGCGCGGTGAAGCCCTGCGTTTCCTTGTATTGCATCCTGCATACTGTTTCTTCAGTCCTGCTTCCCCTAAAGCAGACGAGGAAAGGCGACTTTGTATCTGGTGGAAGCGTGTCCTCCATTTGTCGAGTGTTTAGTTTCTGCCCCTGTTTCTTCTTCCAATGGTGCGCTGCCCCATGCCGCAATGAAAACCAGTTCAAGAGTAACACCACTCACTTACCACTTTACACTAAGAGGCTACGCTGCTTCCTAAGAACAGCAAGCTTAGCGGAGCTTCCCTAGCTACGCGGGGCATCGATGCTCACAATCTGGATACGCTGTTGCCGTAGTTACCGCCCCTATGCTTAGGCCACTTACCCAGTTTTGCGGTTGGCATGGGCAGCGCCTATCTATAAATTGCAGATCCCTGCGGTGCCTACCTAGAGAACAACAGCACTGCAGGCTTGAGCAGAAAAACAAAAACCTGAGATGAACAGGAGGCTGAGGCTACAGGCTAATAGGTGACCAAAGAAACGTAAGACAATGCGAGACTGATACGGTGAACCAGCCAAAACTACAAAATTACATCTTGTGTTTTGGTTTCCTGGTATTCAGCACGCGCGGTTGTCTTCAGCACGTGCGGCAAGCCGCAGCTCGATTGGCTGCAGGGGTAGGCTGACGCATGTATGCACACACGAGTGTGCATAGATGCAAGCGCATGCAAACTTGTTTATTGATTGAAAGCCTGTTTTCATATGTCTAGCACATGCACTGCTATGTGCCACTTGAGGCGCGCGTGCACGTGTCCTGAAATTTGAGCACGCCCTACAAATAAACGAACGAACAGCAGTATTTAAAAAGAATTGTGCGCTTTAGTGGATCGACTCCTGCACGTGCCTTTGCTCGTGTCTAAAGAGAATATACATGCTGAACACGAATTTACATGCATTAATACTGACGCCAAAAATTGAGTACTTGGGCACATACGTGCAGCTTTCCATGCATTAGAGTATGCATGCCCCTCTACGGAGATACATTCACATCGCTTACGCGTGCGTACACCCATACGTATGTACTCCTAGATGCAGGCACGTGCATCTTCACAATGATACATATATTTGAATTCGACCACAGAGGCCTCGTGTAGTTCGCGAGCGTTTCCGGGGTCAAAAAAAGTAGCACAGCCACGGCAGCCACATGGGAACTCTGAAAAACGAAGACAGATATGAAACGAACATCACAGATAAGTGCCAACAAGCCTTTCATAAGAACAAGCTGCAATTGCGTGCAACCTCGGACTTAAGCGACTACGAAAAGTAAAGACGCTTTGAAAGCTATATGACACAAGCAAGAACATCCCAATACAAAGCAACTTACATGGTCGCAAAAAAACCCGGCCCCGGGATGAACGGCCAGGTTCGTCAAAAGCATAGACAAAGTTATTTGCCGTGCGACCAAACTCTGGAATGCACAGGCGATAAATGAGGTGTACATCCCAGTACTTTGGTTTCAAGAGATTTACTTGCAATGTATCGGCAAATATGTGGGGAACTTCGGGGCATCTTCGCGGTGCCAATTGCTCGTGAATTCGCACGGAGAGGCCTGAAGCGCCCAACCCTCGTTCCTTTGCGCTTCAATTGCACGCATTTAGAACTCTGCGTGCCCTGGGTATCTTGGGTAGGGGATTGTATCTCTGATGTTTTCGATTCCAGTGACAAGCATGATGAGCCTCTCGAAACCAAGGCCGAAGCCAGCGTGCGGCACCGTGCCGTAGCTCCTCAACTCTCTGTACCACCAGTAGCTGTCGAGGTTAAGCCCCTTTTCCTTTATCATTCTATCGAGTTTCTCCAAATCCTCCTCCCTCTGGCTTCCGCCAATTAGTTCTCCAATCTTCGGCACCAGCACATCCATGGCCCTGACTGTCTTTCCGTCTTCATTCTGCTTCATGTAGAAAGCCTTGATGTCCTTAGGATAGTCATGCACAATGACTGGTTTCTTTGCAAGCTGTTCTGTCAAATATCTCTCGTGCTCACTTCCCAAGTCCATGCCCCACTCCACCTTCTCCTGAAACTTTACCCGTCCCTCAGCCTCCTCACGCTGCAGGCGAATCACCGCATCCGTGTAAGTAAGCCGTTCAAATGGAGCAGCCAGAATGTTCTCCAGGCGGGCTCGCAGTCCTTCCTCCTGGTTCTTCTCAAACCAGTCTATTTCTGAATAAACACAAACCAACAAAGCGCAACTGTAAGTTCCAACTGCACAAAACGATGCGACCCACGGTTGCGCACATTCACAATTCCAATCTGGTAACATCTGTTCCTGCCAGTTTAGCTGACAGTCACGCAGGTGCGCTCGCTCCTGCCTTGGTGCAGCACTATTCGAATAACATTCGTACTCTAATCTTTCCCGGGAGTCTTTACTTGCTCGCCATGATGCGTAGCACCTAGTTCTGTCATTTCTACCTATTCCACTTTGTGCGTCTACTGCGGCTTTGTGTCTGCGCCTGCCTACCTCCGCTGCAGTTGTCGAGGCAGCTCTTCACGCAGAACTTCACGTATTGCTCAGCCAACTGCATATCGTCCTGGAGGTCCGCGAAGGCAATCTCTGGCTCCACCATCCAAAATTCGGCTAAGTGCCGACTGGTGTGGCTGTTCTCTGCCCTGAAAGTGGGGCCGAAAGTGTACACGTCGGCGAGGGCGCAGCAGTAGGGCTCCACCGCAAGCTGTCCAGACACCGTGAGGTAGGCGTGACGGCTGAAGAAGTCCTTGGCGTAGTCGATCTCCCCCTTCGTGTTAACTGGAACTGCTTTCTTGGGATCCTCCGGCAACAAAGTGGAAACGGAAAACATTTCCCCCGCCCCCTCGCAGTCTGACGCCGTTATGATGGGGGTGTGTATGTACTGGAAACCGCGTTCCTGGAAGAAGCGATGGGTAGCCATGGATAGCTGGGATCTAATCCGGGCCACTGCGCCCATCAGCTGCGTGCGGGGCCGCAGATGGGCAATTTCGCGTAGGTATTCGCGGCTGTGTTCCTTCTTGGCCAACGGGTACTTAGCCGCATCTGTAGTCCCCAAAATCGTAATTGAGTCGCCTGAGTCAAGCACAGAAACAGAGAAACGCCAAAATGCTTGAGAAACCTCACATACAACCAACGACTCATCTACAGCTGCCTCCCCGCAGCGAAACGAGAAGGGCATACGAAGTTGAAACCAGGGCAAAGGCAGAGATCAAATGAACTAAACCGCATTCAAAGGCAATCAATATCAGCAGAGCACGCGAAGATAGATGCCCACGACACGAGTTAAACACCCAAGCTTGTTGAAGCGTTAGGAAACGTACTGCATAGCAGAAAAGACCTGCCTCCAATTCAGCCGGTCCACCAAAGGAATAAAGTGACTTGCAAACGCATTGAAGAACAAAGAAACGCAGGGGCTGGCCTAAACCCTAGACCCCAAAACCCCAAACCCACCTCTCTCTGGCTCTGCAACTTGAAGCTCTATGGGCTGCCCCTTGGCCGGGCTCTCGACGACCCGCCCGCAGAACTTGAAGGAGCAGCCGACTCCGCACTTAATCAATTCGTCGAACTTGGGGATGGTCTTGTTGACCACCACCTGCAGGTTGGCGGCGCAGCTGCCGTCAGTCAAGACCACAAAGCACAGGCTGCCCCCCCCCTGCTTTCGGATGCTGCGGCTCCACCCACATACTGTCACCTGCCTGCCGATGAACGTAGCAGCAGCGCAAGACGCCAAAAGAGCAGCAAGGCGCATGCGCCCGCCACCGGGGCCGTAGACAGCTATGGGCTGCACGTAAGAAAGAGCAGCCGTCTCAGAGACGGGCGGCAGCGCAGGGGGACTTGGTGCGGAGCCCGCCATAGTCATTGTGAAAAGATGTGACAGGAAGCAGCAGTAAAGTCTTCAGGGGATACGGGAGCACGGGGTAGGACTTGACCACGAGACCCGAGAGACACCTCACTGCAAGTGATCGGTTGGGGAGGAGAGGCGTAAGATGCACTGGTGTGCAAGTTGACAGTAAGCTTGTAAGAAACCACACAGATTGGATGTTGTTAAAACGCATAAAGAATATCAGCTGGATGCAGACAATACGGAAACGGTAAAAGCAACAACCGCATAAGGAAGACAGCTTTACGGCCCCGCAAGCCCTGTCCTCGCACCGGCTGCTGCGGCAGCAGGAGAAAACACCAAGACCAGCAGCAGCGGCAGGAGCAGCCCCAACGAGGGAACCACTGGTAAAACTTCACGTTTCTTTTTTCAATTTATCACATTTGTGAAGAAAAAGGGAAGGAAGGGATATTTTGCGTTGCGCCATTGCTCTCCGGCTGCGTAAGCCGGCTGTGCAGAGCATCACGATGAGGTTCTCGACTTACAGGATGATGTATAGGTGCGTAATTCTGTCTGTTCATGTTTGTTTTGGCCTTAAATTCGTCAATCAGACTTACCACGAACAAAGTATGAGTATAGAGGTGAAAAGAGCGGAAAGCTGGCCCAATTCGCCGCCAATTGGCTTGCTGGTGTGTATGCAGCTCGGGCTGTGAGTGGAGTTTGCGGTGTACGAATAGATTGGGGTGTATGTGCTGCTCCAGCGTATATATGCGTAGCTGCGCTTTTGTTTGTGCCTCCCCACAGGGTCGCCACCCAGCATTTCGGCCCCACAGCGCAGTATCGCAAGCTCTACCAGGCCCCTGTGCATTTGGCTGCAGTTCTTCCCTACACGCTGACGAGGACGTAAGATACACACCTCCTGCGGGCTCATATTAGATTTGATGAGAAATTGCATTACCCTCTCCGTTTTGCGTTTCGCTGCCGGCGTGTTGTTTGTTCTCACCTCTTCGCGGGTGTGATATCTGTACTGTTGCCTGTTCGTAGCTGTGTTTTCCTTTGTGAAGTTATTTAGCCATGCATAGCTGCGTGTATGACTTGAAATATGCAGTGTAGACACATAGTGGCGCTTCTGGTGCCCCGTTGTGCTGTATCCTTTCCACATTGGGTTTCGTCCTTTGTATAATCCGCATCTTTGATTCCTTTAGTTTCATGTTTCTCCGTTTCTGCCCCTTGGCTCGGGTTGTACGCAGCCGCCTGCACTCGTTTTTTCCGGATTCATTCAATAGTGCCCACATCTGTTGCTATATGTCTGGTTCCCCCTTTTTGCAGCAACCCAGTCACTATGCGCCCCGAGGCCTCGGGCTCGCTGACGTCTCCCCTTATTTCCTCCTTGTTCGCAACTGCAATGAAGAACGCTTCGCTTGTATCTCCGGCGAGCGAGTTATCGGCTGCGGGTATGCGGCGTAACAGGCCGATTGGGTAGTTTAGTGGTGCTCAATTGACTCAATAAATGTACATTAGTAGCCATTTTAGCCTCTCTTTGCCTTTACGGTGAGTTGGTTGCTCTGCTTCACTGGAACAGGAGGAGGGCTGTAAAGCTCAATCAGGGGCGGTTTTCTCTTATCCTCGTCGCTCATTCGTAGATGTCTTTGTTTGGTTTTTAGGTGCCTTTTTGCCTCTGTGACTTGGTTTCTGCCAATGATGCATATCAGTAGCGCATGTATAACTGGACATACACCGCAGGTGTAATGACAGCTCGAATAATCTATCCCTGAGGAAACGGCATTAGATGAGTACTCATGTTTTTTTCCAATAGGCTTTTTGTGTTGCATTAGTGTGGGGCCTGTAGGGCCTGCAGTGGGGTTCATTTGTTTTACAGACTCAAGTACTTCCTGCTCTCGCTTGTTCTTTTGTTTTTCTTTTTGTGTTTGTGCATAACCGTGCTCTTCTTTTTATCGCTGTGCCCTTTTGCAGACACGAGTTGTGTTTCCTGCTGGCTAGTTGGCTGCATAGACGAGTATAGATGCATGATGAAATTATTGCATCAGTACGTCACTGTTCATTCATCCTGGTTCGTTATTTGTGGTTTCGCATGATTTCTGTATTTATTGAGTTCTAAGATTGCCCTTCTAGGTGCCCTTGTATTGGCTCTGCTGCAGTGTTGCTTTCATTTACATTTCTCTCTATTCATCTGAAACCTTTAATTGTTACTTTCTTCTTTGGCTTTTCGCCTGTAGTGTATTCAATTATATGCTAGGGTGAATGGGCAGCTCGGTGCGCAGCCCGTGGGGGATTTGTCTGGCAGCTTGCCACTGTCTGCTGCCCCTGAACAGAAATTCGAAGTGGATGCATACCTTGACATATTTAGACTTACTTGCTTGCATGGACGAGTATTGATGCATGATAAAATTATTGCATTGGGACGCCTTTTGTTCATTCTTGTCTCTCATTGCTATGTCCGTACGGCTTTTTCTGTTTGTTTCGTTTCCGGCTTGCCTGTCTTTCTGCCGTCTGCATTTAGTCTTTTGAGATGTTACTTTCGTTTCCCAGAGGAGCCCCCATTGTTGCCTGTTTTCTTTATCGAAACCATTTAAAGCACAAATTTACATGTGCGATCTGTTAAGTCTGCATAAAGACGCCTTGTGATTGGTTGTGGCTGTGTTGCTGGGGAAGTCCCTTGTTGGTTCTGCGTTTTCGTTTCTTCGCACACTTTTTAATAATTGCGGATAAAGGGGTTGTCATGACTATTGGCATTGTTTTCTTTTGCTGCTCATTTGCAGATGTATCAGCGCAATTGTTTGACTTCATGCATTTTTTGAGTGTACGTGTTTGCGTATGTACGCGTCAGTTTCGGCTGTACATGCACCTCTGGCGACTTTAGGCGACCTTGCATTCGAAATGATTCGTGAGTTAATAAAATTTTTACTCCATTACGTTTGCTAGTTCCAAGTAGCGAAGAGATATGTTCGTTGGTAATCTCAGTTTCTTCACTTTGGAGTTGTTTCTTGTTTGGGAGGTCGCCGTACACCCTGTGCTGCTGTGGTGTATGTGCAGTCCCACAAATGAAATTTCGCGAGCACTATCATCCATATTCTAGAGTTAATTAAATGAGGTCCGTCTTATTGTGTTGTGTTTAGCCAGACAGGACGCTGCGGAGGCTCACTAGGAACCTATTTATTCGTTGTACGTGCTACATGCTTTGCATGCATTACTGTTATATTCATGCGTGAACGGTCCGTGCCTAAGGTGACTTTCTTATCCGTGCACCTTCCGCCACCCAATGATGCGAGCGAGTCGCGCATGTATTACTGGAAATGCACCTGAGGTGCACTGACAGCTCTAATAGTCTATCCCTGAGGCGAATGCAGTGTCTTCTATTCCCAGCGCCATTCTCAACTATGTTCATGCCACTGTGTCCTTTTCTTTTATTTTTTTCCTCTAAATATGGGCTGTAGTGGAAGGGTGGGGGCGCACAAGCAGCCGCATATATTTAGTTCTTGCAATGTGGACCTTTGTCTTCAGCTTTACATATTTTGTTGTCGTGCTAGTGCATGTACGGGCAAGTGCAACCTTATGAAAATGACTGAATAGGATTTTAAATTGGAATTTAAGTTGGACCCTTAGTGGCCATCCATTGGTATTTATGTTTCTTCCCGCTAATGCATTCTTCTAACGCTGTTAAACACTTGGCTTTCCATCTACTGTTGCACGTACATTGCGTATATGTGCACTTTAGCCGCCCAGTGATGGAACCAAGTCGCGCATGTACTACTGGACATACACTCAGGTGTACTGACAGCTCTAATAATCTATCCCTGAGACAATGGCGGTTTTGTCTCGCTTCTGCACCAGATTTTGTAGACTCTCTGCTTTGAGTTTCGTTTTCTTGGGTGCGCCCACTGTGAATAGGTGTGTTTTCTTTAGTACTTTCGTTCGTATATCGTTCCTGCGTAGTGCTGTGGCGGCGCTGCGCATGCGAGTGCTGAGTTAGAGACGCTGACACACGTGCATCATGCATGCATAATTGTATATGCGCAAACTGTCGATAGGTATTAACAGGTGCTCGCGTGTTTGTGCACCCACCCTTGCAAGCTCTATGTCGGGGCTTATCGCTATTCGTACTGCGTTGTGCTGTGTGTACGCATTTTAGTACATATAGTTGTTCTGCCGCTCGATGATGCACACATTTTGCCCATGTATTGCTGGATATACACCTCAGGTGTACTGACAGCTCTAATAATCTATCCCTGAGAAAGCGGCCGTGTTAAGTATTCGCGTTGCTTCGGTTGTTCTGCCGCTCGGTGATGCACACAATTCGCGCATGTATTACTGGACATACACCTCAGGTGTACTGACAGCTCTAATAATCTATCCCTGAGAAAGCGGCCGTGTTGAGTATTCGCGTTACTTTGGTTGTTCTGCCGCTCGGTGATGCACTCAATTCGCGCGTGTATTACTGGACATACACCTCAGGTGTACTGACAGCTCTAATAATCTATCCCTGAGAAAGCGGCCGTGTTAAGTATTCGCGTTGCTTCGGTTGTTCTGCCGCTCGGTGATGCACACAATTCGCGCATGTATTACTGGACATACACCTCAGGTGTACTGACAGCTCTAATAGTCTATCCCTGAGAAAGCGGCCGTGTTAAGTATTCGCGTTACTTTGGTTGTTCTGCCGCTCGGTGATGCACTCAATTCGCGCGTGTATTACTGGACATACACCTCAGGTGTACTGACGGCGCTAATAATCTATCCCTGGGGAAGTGGCCGTGATTTTTATTGGTTTCTCTTCTGTTGTTCTGCCGCTCGGTGATGCACACAATTCGCGCATGTATTACTGGACATACACCTCAGGTGTACTGACAGCTCTAATAATCTAACCCTGAGAAAGCGGCAGATGCAAAGGAAGATACGATTGGTGCCTATTCACTGCATGCCACTGAAGGATGCGTGCGTTTGTCGGGATGGTCGTTGTCTTTGTGCGAGGCAGCAGCGCATGCCGAGGTCTTCTTGTCTAATTTCTTGTCTTTCGGTCTCTGTACATCTGTCTCTCCGTCTTTGCGTGCTTCTTGCGCATTTTGTAATATCCCTTTCTGTTTGCGTGCATGGGGTGAGTTCCGTGCATTCGAATGCTGTACATGCAGTACATGCCTGCTTATGAGTGTCAACGTAGTCGTGCCTTCTGCACAAGCCTGCTAGTTTCGCTGCATGCCTAATGTTGAGATTTTCTGGGTCATGGATGACGAAAAGAAGCAAAATTGACCGCTGTAACGTTTTTTTTGACGTGGCGGCGCTCTTGTATGTACTTCTCCGTGCCTTTGTGCCTTACTTTTCCGTCGTTCTGTGTATTTTGTGTTGCCAGTGGCTTCGACCACGTTTCCTTGTCTTCATGGTTTTTGTGCCCGTTTCACCTGTGTTTGTCACCGCTCGCCTCCATGCACATTTTCTGTAGTCCACCTTTTTTGTCACCTGCGAGCCTGTGCCGTTTGTTTGCCGCCTTCCTTTGCAGCTTCTCTTTTGCATGGTGTTCGCCTGTTTGCCTGAGTGCGTCAGCTAGTCTTAGATGCATCTTCTCTACTTGATCCTGTCTTGCTTTCACGTATACTAGACTAGTGTGTGGCTGGCATAATCTTGCGCTGTGTGTGTTTGTGCCTGCAGATGGTGTAACAACGGTACACGACTTCAGTCCAGTTTTAAATTCAGTAACATGCGGATTTAGTCTAACAGCATCCACCCTAGCCAGCAGCTGGCTAGCAATACAAACTCCACAAGCCACAGACGCCGCCACCTGCTGCTGCTCTGCCTTGCCAGCAGCTGCAGCAGCGGGGCGTGGTGGGAGGCCCCAAAATGCGTTGCAGCAAGCTTGAAGCCCTTGTGGCTAAAGCGCTGCAGCACATAGCGGTGGCCAGCGGTCACCCCTGTTTTTTTACAAGTGAATCGGGAACCACTTTGGCTCTAGGGCCTCAGTACTTGTGAACACAGGCGAACAAAAATACATTGCTAAAAAAAACATTAAAAAGTGTCCTAGTTCAAACCAGCACCATGAGATGCACCATCAGCAGAACGCAGCGCCTGCAGTCATTGCAATGCGCTCAACGCAGCGAAACTGCAGCAGCAGCGGCTGCTGCTGCTGCTCGCTCCTGCCGCAATGGCTCCTGCTGCTGTTCGCTCGGGGCACGGACTGTGCGCTCGGGATGCAGCCCCAGGCACCTGCTGAGCAACCACTGTGACACTCCATACCAGTCCGAGAAGTCCTGTGCACCAGCGTCTGCAGCAACCACTGCGACACTCCATACCAGTCCCGTACTCTTGTGCACCAGCGTGTGCTGCTGCTGCGCGCTGCACCAGTTGCTGCAAGAGTTGCTACAGCAACAAAAAGCAGCAGGTGCAGTCCTCACTGTCTTTGCTACAAGTGGCTGCACGAGGTGACTATTCACCCTACATAACCTGGGCGGCACCGTACGCGAGATCGGTGTGCTGCTGCTGCTGCATTTTCTGCTGCTGCAGCTGGCTGGTCCCCTGCAAGGCCTGCAAATTCGGGCCCTTGAGGCCAAGCTGTTGCTGCTGCTCGTGCTGCTGCGCCAAAGCCACCAGGTGCAGCAGCTGCTGCACTCGCGCAAAGTCGCAGTGGGGAGCCCAGTAACATAAAGCCGATAGCTCAACTGTTTCCGTTGCTCCAGAAAGCAAGTGCAGCAGCTGCCCCTCGGAACCCACGCCGAGCGCCCACTCTGCCAGTTTGCATGTACACCCGAGACACCGCGCCAGCTGAAACGGGGTTTTGCGAGGATCTGCTGCTGCTGCTGCTGCAGCTGCTGCTGCTGGAGACGTGGCAGCAGCGGCCGGCACAGCAGGAGCCGGGGGCAGCGTGCCCGCTTCCTGAAGCGACTCGACAATTCGCTGCACTAGGCAAGCAGCAGCAGCAGCACAGAGGCCTTTGACTGCAGCAGCAAAAGCAGGGGAGTCAAGAACGTCTCGCGCCTCCTGCAGCAGCAGCAACACCTGCCCCGCTGCAGCCGGAGGCAAAGCAGCAAGATCGTTGCTGTCCAAAGACTCCTCCTCCGGCAGCAGCAGTGCTGCATACCCGTACTCATCCCCCACGAAGTCACCTGCACCCAGAGCCGATGCTGCTGCTGCTGCTGCTGCTGCTTCCGCTGCTACTGCTGCGCTGGCACTTGCCGTTGCCGCTGCTGCAGCATTTTTGGAAATGTCAATGTCTTCGAAACCTGGGGGACTACTGTGCATTTGCTGCCGCCTGATTGCTTGCTGCTGCTGCTGCCGCCACTGCTGCTGCGTTGCTTCTCTGCAGAGTCGCGAACACATTCTGCACATGATTTGCTGCAGCTGCTGCTGTAGGAGCTCCGCCGTTATCGCCTTTTGCGGGGGGAAGACGGAGACAAAAGCACAAACCTCGGACAGTGCTGCTGCAGCAATTCGCGATATGACTGCTGCTGAGGCAGCACGGCGAGTTGAGGAAAGAAAGACAAAGTTCTGTTCGTGCTGGCGCTGCTGCTCTTCCTGCTGCTGCTGTTCGTTCTGCTGCTGCTGCTCTTTCTGCAACAACGCCGCAGCGAGGATGTTGACTTGAACGCGGTGCAGCAGCAGCAGCAGCAGCAGCAGCACGGTGCAGCTGACCGTCCGTGCCACCACATTTGCGCACAACTCTCTAAAACATACTTCCTTTTGCTGTGGCGTCATCCTGCTGCACTGCTGCGGCTCTCTAAGAACTCGCGTGTACGCGTCTACGGGGAATGCTGCCTCCAGCTGCTGCTGCTGCTGCCGCTGCACCTCCCTGAGAAGCAGCAGCAGCGAAACATCTGACACGCACTGGTTGCGTACGAAGTGAAATGCAGCAACCCACTCCGCCTCCGTGACCTGCTGCTGCTGTTGCTGCTCCTGCTGCTGCTGCCGCAGTTGAATCAACTCCCCCTCACTCAGTCCCAACTCCTTCAGTAGCAGCTGACTTAGTTCCCCATCGTCAGCATCTAACAAAGCAGCAAGCCTCTTGTGGTGTTTGTAGATCTTTGCTGCTACTGCTCCTGCGGCAGCTACTGCAGCAGCAGCTGCCGCACCCGCCAGCACTTTGTACGGGTGGCGCTTCACAGAGCCCCACAGCCGGGACAGCATCTTTGCTGTTGCTGCTGCTGCGGGGCTTCTATGTGAAGAAAC